AAAAAGTTATGAGGCAATGATATGCTGTCTAAGTTTGTAAACCACTCATCCCCACATCCCACTCTGTCAGGGAGGTCCCTCTACTAAGAGCATTCTGTTTGGAAATGTTCACTGAATGTTCAAAAATATAAAATGAAGGGGTTGGGGAAATGGCTCAGTGGGTGAGTATCTGTTATGCAAGCATGAGGATGAAAATTCAGATCATCAACACCCACATAAAAAGTCTGGACTACAGTATACATCTATACTTCAGTGCTAGGAGGGAGAGACAAGAGGATCTTGAGGGGTTCCTGACCCATTAGTCTACCCAAGTGGGGAACTCTGGGGTCAGTTAGAGACCCTCACTTGAAAATAAGGTGGAGAGTGATGGAAGAAGACACTAAAGACTGACCTCTGTCCTCCACAATGCATTATGGGTATACAAGTGCACACCCCACATGGTGTGTGTGAGTGTGTATGTGTCTGTTAAGTTTACATGCACACACACATCATGCTCGTTAGCCTACAGGAGCTAGCTCCAGTCACAAAGCTCTGGTGTTCTGAGACCATAAAGGTGAGGCCAGGTTCTTAAAGTTGACCTGGTTCCCCTGCGCTTAGAACCCCTGAAGATTCCGCTGTAGAAAGCCACAACTTCGAGGGATATTAAACTTCTTAGAGAAACACATAAGAAATTTTGACACAGAAGCCCCAACTGGTGGGAAGGCAACAGGAGGGTATGTAGAAAAGGTCAGGTGATTCCTAGTGGTGAGTTACAGCTCAAGGACTTTGGACTTCTCTTTGAATTTCTGTTTCTATCTATTTGGGACAATTTAACAGCCTCCAGTTTTAAATTTAATGTGTTAAAAATAAAAACCAATTTGAGGTGCCAGATATCATATCACATTTTTGACGGCTTAGCTGGGTCTCTAGCTAAAGGGCACATCTTCTAGGTCGCTTCTTGAGGTTTGCAGAGTCACGGACATTTAAAAAGTTCCTTATCATCAACCTCGGGGATTAACAGCTCTCCCTAGCTACTGTGGCTATCCCTCAGTCTCCATTTTTCTTTTCTGAGCTTTCTTATCTAACCCCAACAAGCCATTGGGGTGGTACAAAGGGATCTTTGGTTAAGCATTTAATATAATAGAATACACACACACACACACACACACACACACACACACACACACACACACACACACAATATGGCCAAGAATGGGTTAAAATTTAAACAAGAAAAAATAGTGAGCAAAGAGACAAATGATGAATGAAAAGATCTCCCAGAGTTATGTGCTTGTATAAATCAGTTTTAAGTCTTTGTAAGTGACAGCAAGAAGTAAATGATAGTTTATTGCTAACTAGGTTACAAATATGCACATGGCTAGTAGGACCATGTTCAGTTAGCAATAACATTCCCCTCAAAAATATATATCTTCATTTTCTGAGCCTATTTAGAACACAAAGAATCAAATGATCAAAAATTCAAACAGTAAGAGATGTGGAAAGAGTGAGGCTTCACAGTAACTGGTCAGCAGCGTACATGCTTGTAATCAGCTGTGATCTAGCTATCCCTGATCCAGCTGTGCACTGGTCTCTAGCATCCAGTGTTACACCATGCTATGACATTTGTAAGCATGTGCCATCAGAATAGAAATCTTAATGTCCCACCCAGGCTTTTCTAGATGCAGCTGCATCAAAGATCCACAGCTTGGCCATTCCAAGATTCCTGCTTCACTGAATGAGAAGGTAGAGGGAATATGTCACCTCTCATCCAGGGTTGTTGTTTGTATGCTCTGTGTGTGTGTGTGTGTGTGTGTGTGTGTGTGTGTGTGTGTGTGTGTTATACATGTGTAGAGATGCACATGTTTTTGTGGGCCTGAGCGGGTTGATATTGGACTTCTTCCTTGATCACTCTTTGTCTTATAGATTGAGGCAGGGTTTCCCTTTCCCACTTCAACCCAGAGTTCACCAATCTGGCTAGTCTAGCTGCCAGAATGCTCTAGGGACTTCATTTCATTTCTGGAGCACTGGGATTGTAGATGGGCCAACACATCTGCTCAGCATTTCCATGAGTGCTGGGGATCCGAACTCCTGTCCTCAGGCTTGCTCTGTGTGGCAAGCACTGTGCCCACTGAACCTCCTCTCCAGCCCCAAGACCCCCTTGCTTCATGCTCAGCTCTGGAACTGAGCCCCCCCACCTCCACATACACACACACACACACACACACACACACACACACACACACACACACACACACTTCTCAGTTTTCAACCCCCTCCTATTTCTTCTCCTATTGTCTAAACTATATTCCTTGCTTTTAGCTGATGATCTCATGTTCACTGAGAAAACATGCAAAACCAAGAAGGAAGATTTTCACCCTCCTGTGCCCAGAACTCCCCTCTTCCCTCTCTCTTGACTGGACAGACTGTCTCTCCTCCCCTTTCCTCGTGGCCAGCAACCCCTGAGTTCACTGAATCCTGTCACTCCTACGTCATCCTGTGATGGTCCTTTCTCCCCAGTGTCACCAGCTTCTTTGTCTTGGACGTTGAGTCATTCCCATCAGCACACGGAATGCCTGGGTGACTTCCAGATGATCCCCTAAAGCATCTCTCCATCCCTCACTCTCTTCAAGCCGCATCTTGCTGATTCTCTCAATTCTAGAACTTCACCGAGAGCTGTCCACACTCAGTCTTCCCTTTATCAAGTCATAGAATCCTCTGGGCCCACTTGACTTAGACTTTACCAGACTTCTCAAAGCGCCTCAGTCCCCACCCACAGTGGTGCCCACCTCTCCGAGAACAGTGCGGGTGCTCGTCTTTGCCGTTTGCTGTCTCCTCTTCTACATTTACTCCTCTTTCCTTGCCTGATGCTGCACCTGCCTCCACCTCCTGCCAGATGCTCCATTCGGTTTCTCTCGGCCTCCTTCACAGGTGCTCTGACTCTTGACTGCTGGAGCATCCCTGGGCTCACTCACCCTCTGCTTTATGCTTTTCTTAATTTGCATTTACTCCCTGTTCTTTCTCTTCCCTTGCCTTGGATAATATCTCTTTCTGAACTCTAGGATGTGTTGTTACCTCTGATCTTGCTCCTGAGAGCCAGATTTGTGGATTCTGCTTGATTTTTTTTTCTCTTACATCCATGTCTTTCAGGCATCACTAATCGAACATGCTCCCAAAGCAGTCTTGTTTTTCCTCCCAAAACTGCTTCTCTGCCATAATTCTTTTCAGGAGCAGCACCTCCAGTCCCTTAGGCTCACTGCAGAAACACAGGATGAAGCACAATTTCTCCGTCTAACACCCAGAGGCCAAGGCGTCAGATCTTCCAACCGAGAGTCAAACATTCCACTTCGCCCCAAGTCTCCGCCTGAGTCCGTTGTTCATGTGCTCCCTCCCTCCCTCCCTCCCTCCCGCCCTCCCTCCCTCCAGAGCTGCTGCTTCTGTTCTGCAGTCTATAAGCTGTCTTCCGTTCCCAGCACCCAGAAGGCTTTGTGTCTTTCTGTACCCTCGATCCCCCCTCAGGCATGACCACTGTTCTGTTTCCACCCAGTGCCTTCACATCTGTTTTGTCCTTGACTTGGAGGCCGTGCTTAGTGGCCGGCGGTGCCATGTAACCCCGAGAGTGCTCACTCTCCAAAGTGCTTCCTTCGCCGAGTTTCACAATGCAGCCACACCAGCACACTGTAGTCTTTCACTGCTGTTCTCTCTTCCAAGAATGCGAACTTCACTTTCAACAGCAGCGTCTTTAACCTGCTTCCTTTTCTAGTGGGGCCTCACCACCTTCCTTCTCTGTGGAATGGAATCCAGCTCTTGGAACTATTAGCAGAATCTTACCACACAGTCACTTACCCAGGGCCTGTTTGGTAAGCCTACTTCTAGTCCTGACTTTATCATATGAGTAAGGACAGGAATTATCAAAATCAGATGAACAAATATTGAAATGGGTATGGATTCTGTTCTTAATTTCCATCTATTAATATTTGCAATGATTCCTCAAAGAACATCAAATTCTTTTAAATTCTAAATATTATCTTAAAAAATAAACTAAGAGTTGGAAGGAGTTGTCTCCAGGAAGAGGGAATTGGGAGCAGGGCAGGTACCCACTGTTCTTTCTTGCTAGGCCAGCACTCCCTGGGACAGTACTTTAATAGAAATACAATTGAATTAAAGAGAAAAGACTGGAAGGAAGGCTTATGACAGGTTAACAAGAGTTAACAGTTAACATGTTAGCTCTCTGTAGCTGCACGGACTTAAATCATCAGCTACATTAATTTTCCTCTTTGTTCTCTATGAATTCATAAATGACCTGTAATGCATTTGTGTGGGTCTTTTAAAAAAATAGTATTGATGCATTTTGCATGCTGACCAGATAGTGGAAGGCTAGGGAAGATAAGGTGGGAAACCTTTTGAGGATGCTCTGATTGGAAGTGGAAATCCCAGGATCTTCAGGGAATGTATCATCTATCCAGTGTCCTACCAGAGCCTTGAGGTCCAGGGGCAGAAGGATTGGGATTCTGCGACACAGAAAGAGGTTGGAAAATATGTAAAGGGGATATATGATACAGAAGGATGCTGCCACAGGGCCCTGTTGCTCACAGATCTGTCCTGAGAATAAGAAATTAACACAAGAAAGGTTTGCTAGCAAATGGAGAGCAAGCAGGCAGAGCTGAAGCCAAGTAGGCAAAGACAGACAGTTTGAGCCATCTGACATTCTGAGCAGTATATTTGCTTTTAATAATGCATATGGCCAAAACAGGCTGGCACAGAAACCATTATTCAGTATTTGGGGGGAAAAGCAGACACAAATCACCCACCTTCCCGGCTGGCCAGGCTATCTCGGGGAGGAAGAGGTGTGTCCTCAATTCCCACTGCTCTGGGTTAAGCCTTGGTGATGTGCGGGGCTCTGTAATCTCTTCTGACACCTGCAGAAATGTTTTGCAAATTCACATGCTTGGAACTCTGCAGAGTCAGGAGGTGAAGCATCACCGTGCCTTCCCTGCTTAATAGAAGTGCGCTGTCTTTTGCAGGATGGATGGTCACAATATCACTTTGTAGCCTCATCTTCAACCATTGAGAGGGATCGACAAAGGCCCTACTCCTCCTCCCGCACACCCTCCATCTCTCCTGTGCGTGTGTCTCCCAACAACCGCTCAGGTAAGAGCCAGCCCAGGCCCTGCTTTCCTCCTGAGCCAAGGGACTCAGGCCCAGCCCCTGATCTGGACACCACACTGAGAAAAGTTGTCTGGCTTGTACACTGGGTAGTATATGGGTGTGTTTTCTGTTGTGGTAGCAACTCTGTGGGCTGTACACAGACCAGGAACCAGTCTCAGCTGAGACTGCTTCCTATCCATGGAATACCCTCATGCACTCAATGAGTAAGGCATCTAAAGGAAGCAGGCAGGAGTTCACACATCACCGTTACACAAGTATTTCTAACTACCCCCTACATGACTCACTTATTATAAACTCTGAGTCATTAATAAATTAGTATCATAGTCAACTTTTATTCATAATTTTTCTCTCGTTTTGCCAATTCTTAGCACTTAAGTTTTGATCTCGGTTGGTTCATTTCTCAACTACTTTATATGATTTTCTAGTCCTTTTGAGTAAGCCCAAAGATTAGATGGAAATATGAAAAGGAAATATGTGTGCCATTTAGTAACATAAGCATCCTGTTGTTCTCTGCCTCAGAGAATAGTGTTTTAAGCTTATCTTTCTGTCTCTGAATGTTTATTCCTTTGGTTGAGAAATGGGTCAAGACTAAATACCCAGATGTCCCCACATATACCCTGATGTCTAGGCTCTTATTTGTGACAGCCTTCTCTTCCCTGCCCTGTTCCCAACCCCTACTGAAGAAGTCCTGTTTTCTGAAACAGCATTTTGTAGGGTTGGGCAGAAAATCGCCCTATCAAAGTGACTTTTCTGTCCCCGAGGATGACTGTCCTCAGACTTTTCACCAGATTTACTGTCATAGGGTTGAGGAAAAAGCAGAAACGAAGAGAGAAATGTTGTTACCCTCTCCAAGCTCCGTGAAAGTTTGTGTTCAAGGTACGGTTGTTGCTTAGGACATCTGATCCAACCAAAGATGAGAGTCAGGAAGCCCCTGTAACTTCGAAGCACAGAGGTGGACACATACTTCTGACTCTACGATTCTGAGGGCTTAAAGGGCGCCTGGGACAAAAAAGGAGGGTGGCTTGTTAAAGACTCTTTTTGATTAAGAACCAATCAATCAGGAAGGTGAGGTGATAGAGTGGATGGGAAGGTGTTGGGCTACGGAAGAGCCGTGTCTGGAGTAGGCAGTAAAAGGCCCGACTGGGGATCCGTTCAACAAGTGCTGTGCCTTGGTATTTCCTAGGCCAGGCACATCAAGACACCTAATAAACATTCGTTCGCATGATTTGATCTTTCCTGGAGCTTAACCCTGATTTACTGAAGACTCGGAGCATCACCGTGTGCAAGGTCTCAGGAGATAATTACACACTTCATGTAGCTTAATAAACATCACCATCTGTGCAATATTAGGCTCTCATTTTTAAAAGCTTCGGTCAAAAGGCTCCAAATCCTGTGCCTCCTTGATTGATGGCCCAGACTCCTGAACGGCCAGGTTCTATGCAAGGATACCCAGGACCAGAGGAACAAGGACAAAAGCAGAATTTCTCCACAAGAAAGAGGTTAAGCAGATAAGAGAGAAGGCAGAGGGTTGTGAAAGTAAGTGAGACCCCCTACAGCTGATGAGACAAGAATGGGAAGGGGTGGATTGAGCCCAGCCAAGCTGGGGGCTTGTTGGAGCCTGGGTTGTTCATGCAGTAATTCTCCTTTAAGCTCAGGGTACTAAAGATACATAAAGTGAAGAGTCCCTTCACCGTGACCCTATTCTCCTCCAGCCTGGAATGGACAACAGCCCAGTCCTGCTCTGTCCCCTGCCTTCATCAGCCTCCAATCCCATCTTGAAGAGCCAGAGTCCCTGTGTAGCAGGGAGATGCACCCGTGGGTCAGAGTGTCCAGGAGAGATACTGCAGGTTGTCATGTCCAATGCCCCTAGGTTCCCACTGGATGCTTTGACCCAACTGATGTTATCTGGGACTCAAGCATCTATATTTAAGGAATTTGGGGAATTCTTTCTGATTGGTAGTTGGGGTTGGAAACCTCCAAGTACCTCAAGAGCTGTTTGTTTCATTTTGGTCCAGTTGGGATGTTTCGGGAGGTTCTTCGGGACAGCCAAACAATGCCTCTACTTACTTTCTCAGCATTTGGATGTGACTTCTCTTAAATACTTCCAACTCTGATTCTAATGTGTCTGCATTTCCATACTCTACTGGGATTCCCTAAGTTTAGCAAGCATGGCACAGTTCACATCCTGCATCCTGCACTGTCTGGCACAGAGATTTGCACAGGGAGTTCACTAAGTTTGACAGAATCCAGTGATTCACATGGTGCAAAGAGATACATTAGGGGAGAAGCAAGCTCTGTGTGCTGGGGCTGAGGAACCCTGTACAGGATTCGATGATGCTCTGAAAGGTAAACTGAGGCATGACTGGAAAAGCAGCTTAGACATTACCAAAGAGGACTTTATGTTAAAAGTCAGTTTCTTGGAAAAAAAAATCTACTTATTCATCACCAGGTATGCTTGGTAAGAGTGGATTCCAAGGGCTTTCCAGGGAAAATTCCAAACAAAAAGGTTCAGGAATTGGTGGAGAATTCCTAAACTCTCAGGCAGATCTTTAGGTAAATCAGGATTATGGAGCACTGCCCTGGGGTTTAAGAAGTCAGAGGAAAATGAAAGATAAAAGCACACCATGGCCAAGGTCCTCATACTGCGTGTGATGCCCCCATCATGGTGGGACAGGCCTGGCCCACACCCTTGTAGCACCAACACTCTTTTCTGCCTCTTCCCACATCTCTGTGCTGGCTCACTGTTGAGTGGCTACCAAGCCATCCCCTTCACTGTGGTTTCCATGGTTCTATACTAGTTTACTCCTGAGAGTCCTTCCTGTAATTACAACCCATCTCTTTTAGAAAGAGGAACATGGTGAGGTACATTCTTTGTGCCCAGCAATCCACAAGCAGCTGAAATGTAAGGGGTGTATGAGACATTATTGACATGATCACCTCAAGAGCTGAAACCAAAACGCCTTGTCAGGAAAAACAAACAAACAAACAAAAAATAACAGCAAAAAAAAAAATTCTTCCCACCTATCCCAGGCTACCTGGAGAAGAGCCTGGTGGGTGACATGGTTTCAGCTCCAGATTCCCTCTGTGGGTGATGTTGTTTCAACCCCACCAATTCCCTTCATGGGAGGTGTTACTTCTTTCTGTCTTACATAAGGCAGCCTCTGGGCAACTCTGTGTTGAAATCACATTGTATTTCTTTTCATCAGAGACTCTTTTAGTGTCAACATGGGTCTAATATCCTTAATTCAAATGGCTAAGACCAGAAATGTTTCAGGTTTCTCATTTTTAAATATATATATTTTTTTAGTTTGGAAAATTTCATATATATCACGGAGACATTGAGCAGAGAACACAAGTCTAAACACGAAAATGCGTCCGTGCTCCCTATAGGACTTGGTAGAAAATGGTCTGAACTCTTTGGGGTGCTTTGACTACAGCCTGTGTTAGGAGGTAGGGTGTGTGGAATTTTCCACTCCGGTTGTCATGTCAGTGCTCAGAGAGTTTCAGACTGCAGAGCGTTTGGACCTACTGTTTTCAAATTAGGGATGCTCACACTGTAGCAGCTCCTTTGAAGCATATCTAATTAAAAAATAAAGTGAGGGCGAGGGGGAAGAGAAGGAAAAAGAGCTCGAAAGACCAGTCCCATTCGTAAAGCTCTAGTATACACCTAGGGAAGGTCATGTCTCCACCATTTCTGTTCAAGGAAGATGATCCAAGGTGTAATCCTTAACTGCCCACCTCCAAGTCAAACTGTCTCTTTTATGATAAAACAGCAGTGGCCATAGACTGAGGGAAGATGGTAACACCAAGTCAAAGAGGTAAAACTAAAAAATAAATGATCCATATACCATACTGACAAGTGTTGGACCATGTCTGTTTGTGAGGTGAACTGATTATGTGAAAAGTAAGACATACCATGGAGTGAGACACAGAAAAAAACCTTTCTCTTTTCTTCATATAGCAAGTGCCCCAGCTTCACCTCGAGAAATGATCAGCCTCAAAGAAAGGAAAACGGACTATGAGTCCACTGGCAACAATGCCACTTACCATGGAACTAAAGGAGAACACACTTCCAGAAAAGACGCCATGACAGGTGAGCGTAGTCACGCACTTGACCGGGACCAACGCTGATGGCCGGGAGGATTGTCAGAGCACTTGAGATCTTGATAGTACCTGGAACCTGAGGGAGAAGACAAGGATACCCACAGGACTCTCACTGAGACATTGTCTTCTCCTCCCATGATGCCGATCTCTTATATAGATAGCAAGGCCTGAGAAACTTCTAAAGAATGAATGAGCTTTTGTCTTCATCCCCATCTCAGTCAGAACCATCATCTTTCCATCCCAGAATGCTTTGCTCACCCTGGCTTGTAAGTAGGCATGGCCTTAACCCCCCACATCCTTTATACAGTTTTCCTTGGGAATTTACAACTGTCTTCAGGGTCTGAGCCCACTCCCTGACAGCATCCCTAAGAACACAGTTATAAGGATGGGACATGGGAAGAAGGACATGGGAGGCTCCTGTCGGGGGCTTAGATCTTCAGAACTAGACTCTCAGAGGCACGTGACTTTAACAAAGGCCCAACAGGATTCTTTGCCACATGAAAATGAAGATGGGTCCCTCCTGAAAATAGACTATGAGTAATGGGCCTGTAAGAGGAGATCAGGTGGTCAAATCATTGATAAAACTGGGGTGCAAAGGGTGTAACCCTAAAGAGATGCAGAGATGCTCTCATCAGAGCGCTTTCGAAAAGCATGGGGCATGGGTCTCTGATGTTATTTATGTGCAGACCTGCAGGGAAGCAGAGTAGACAAATTGGATGATTTATTAAACGTCTTCCAAACCCAGGACAGATAAGATAAATTTTTGCAATAACAAATGTATTTACCCCAGCAGCAGTGTGTTCTGTGTTAACCCTGCAGAGCTGCATAAAGAAACATGCGCTAGAGATGTATGTCCTACCTGAACCCCCAGGACCACATTCTGCCTCAGTGTGCAGACCCCACATGTCACCCTGGATCCTGAAATGCCTCTTGAATGGGAGAGATGAATTCATTTCACCACCATAGCTTATTCTTCTCTTTCTCTATTATTTTTTCCCTGCCCTATAAATGTTGCTCTAGCCATCACTGAATATGGACCGAGAAAGTCGAGAATCTGAGTCCCTAGCATAGAGGTGCCAGGGGAGAATCTAATTCATACTGATTAGCCTGAATTATCAATGACAGCAAATTCATCTGACCAGTCCAGTTTATAATTATTGTTGCCCCAGGTAGCCACAGCACCAGAATCTCAGATGACAGATTGAGGTGATAGTTAGAAGAATAATTGTAAGATTGATTATATTACTATCATTTGAGTTCAGTGTTGCTTTTCAACCCTCTGGCCCAGCACAATCATCCCGAAGGGTTTTAAGAGCAATATGTTTATGTTGAAATAATTGTAGTGATACATGAGTTTGCCCACACACACAGTAAAATAAAGCATAAAATGTCTCATGTGCCTGATAGTCCTCCTGCCTAGGAAATGGCCAAGATCTTGACAACTCTGCTATTGAGATATATGGAATTCTTTAAACCTACTTAGAGGCCCAAACAGCTTAGCTCTGACTTACTTGGAAACTCAGTTCAAAACAATGCTATCAGTCATGTAGCCAACCTAGGGGAAAACTGGGCTCTTGACTGAGTCTGTTTATATAAGAACATTCTTCCTAAGTCAATGGGTTTTTAAATAAAAGCTGTTTGTTAACAGTGTGAGGGTGGTGGAAGTGATAAGGGAAGTGGAGGGATAGAGAGGCAGTGGGGGCAAGGAGAGAAGTGGAGGTGGTGGTGGTGATGGTAGTAGTGGTTGGTATGGAGGTGGTGGTGGTTGGTGTGGAGGTGGTGGTGGTGATGGTGGTTGGTGTGGAGGTGGTGGTGATGGTGGTGGTGGTTGGTGTGGAGGTGGTGGTGGTGATGGTGGTTGGTGTGGAGGTGGTGGTGATGGTGGTGGTGGTTGGTGTGGAGGTGGTGGTGGTGATGGTGGTGATGGTGGTTGGTGTGGAGGTGGTGGTGATGGTGGTGGTGGTTGGTGTGGAGGTGATGGTGATGGTGGTGGTGGTTGGTGTGGAGGTGGTGGTGGTGGTGGTGGTGGTGGTGGTGGTGGTGATGGTTGTTGGTGTGGAGGTGGTGGTGGTGGTGGTGGTGGTGGTGGTGATGGTTGTTGGTGTGGAGGTGGTGGTGGTGGTGGTGGTTGGTGTTGAGGTGGTGGTGGTGGTGGTGGTGGTGGTGGTGATGGTTGTTGGTGGTGGTTGGTGTTGAGGTGGTGGTGATGGTTGTTGGTGGTGGTTGGTGTTGAGGTGGTGGTGATGGTGGTGGTTGGTGTTGAGGTGGTGGTGATGGTTGTTGGTGGTGGTTGGTGTGGAGGTGGTGGTGTTGGTGGTTGGTGTGGAGGTGGTGGTTGGTGTGGAGGTGGTGGTGTTGGTGGTTGGTGTGGAGGTGGTGGTGATGGTGGTGGTTGGTGTGGAGGTGGTGGTGATGGTGGTGGTTGGTGTGGTGGTGGTGATGGTTGGTGGTGGTGGTTGGTGTGGAGGTGGTGGTGGTGGTAGTGGTTGGCGTGGTAATGAGAGAAGGGGAGGTGATTGTGCTGGTGACTTCATGGCCATGATAATAGTGGGGTGTGACAGTAGTGAGTAGTGGAGACTGAGGTGTTAGCAAAGGTGGTGATGGCGGAGGTCCAGCCCCCTATGGGGTGTTAAGGGCAGAGGTGAGTGTGTCAGTAATGGTGGAGGTGAAGTGATGAGTGTGGATGTTAATATGCCGGCAAGGGTGGCAATGGTGGAGTGGAGGTGCCGGCAAGGACGAAGGTGGGGCTTTTGGTAATGAGCCTGGTGGTGGTAGTGATTGCCTCCTGTCGGTGGAGTGAATTAAGTCACCAGCCAAGCCACAATAGCACCCAGCATGCCACACTGGAATAGAAAAGTTGTTTCACCAACTTCTACTCTAGGAACTCTGGGAAATGCCCATCATTCAAGAATTCACTTATAAAGTCAGATATCTTAGGATCTCTGTATCAAAACTAGCTGGTTTTTTTTTTTCCTGTCATTTAAGATTAAACCCAAGGTGTGGCAGGGTTTGGTGGGAAAAAAAAACTCAAATGTTTCCTCCTTTCTTGGTCCTGAGGGACCAGTGATGCCCTACCATTCCCCAATGGGGAGAGGCTGTCTGCTATGGGAAACGAGGGACCACCTGCCCTCAAAGGCAACATTGGAACGCTGATGGTAGACACAGTTCCTCACCTGTACTGGCATTCCCTAGCTTGGGTCTCAGAAATCCAGACCCATGTGGGTTTTCACCCCAGCCATCCCACTCTCTCTTCTTCTGCATTCCTTTCCTAGCTTCTAGCACGTCTCTGAGAACACCATCTCTCTTTGTGTTACTGAGGGGCCCTGAGAATCCCAACGTCAGCTGTGCGTTCAAGCGTGCCAGATGCTGGCAGCTAGTTCTCCAGCTGTGGTTGCCTAGGAACCTCTTGGTGCCGGCTGATCCCTGTTAGGTTACACAGCCTAACTTTTAAGTTTGTCTGGGGACTTCACCAGTTTGCCATCCGAACTTCCCCTTTCATTGGGTGATGCCTGACGGTTTTTGTCAATGTCTTTCTTATGCCTTTTAAAGCCATCCTAATCCTTTCGGTTAGAAATGGAGTGTTCAGGGAACGACACAAAAAAGAAAGGCACTTCTCTATGAAGAGCATCCTTGAGGCTCTTCACTTTACGTGCCTGTGAACGTAGTTCCCTCTCAACCGGAGTCTCTTTTACACAGGCAAGTGAGCTGAGGACAGAACTTCCAACAGAAGCATCTTCTACTTAAAAAACCAATACAATGTGAAAAGAGGCTAAGGTTGTAACAGTACAGATGTTCCTGCCCCCTAAAATACATCATTCCAAATAATGGAAAGACCAGCCTTTCACCTTGACCTTGAAGTGACATTTTTATCAGCATGTTTATATAGGGCAGATAGATGAATTTCTAAGATCCATGCCTTCATTCAATAATTATGTCTCCTGCTCTGTGAAGATCCACTGAGACCAGGCTCCATCCAGAGACATACAAACAGAAAGAACTAGACATGCTTCTCTGTTTTTATAGGGCCTCGGCTCCAGTAAACAAAGACCAGCAGTAAAAACAAGATCAGCAACAGAACAAGTTCTCCCACAAGGTGGCGGCGTCACATGATGCTGAGCATGATGAGGGACTAGACAGATGATGAGACAGAGGAAGCCAGGTAGAAAGGGTAGCTTCGCATGCCATGCATAACAAGGAGACATCTCAGCTGATACCTGACCACCAGACTGTACCTGTAAAGGAGGATTTACAAGTATCGTCTGCCTGAGGGCACACAAACTTGACTCACTCAGTAGAGCAAAGAGGAGCACCGTGGCTAAGGCTCCTTAACAAGAGAGAATGGTTGAGAGACATGGTGGAAAGTGGGATTGGGGACAGATCATGTGGAGCTTGAGTTGTACCAAGCAGAGAGAGTGACATAATCCAATCCATAAAACACAGGGTCCCCCAGCTGTGGAAGATCGGTGAATAGTGAACACAGGACAGACAGACAGTTGGGCCCACTAGGAAGATTCAGTGATCCAGGAGTAAAAAAGACAGAGATAGGTGAAATGTAGATCTGCTCAGAGAGGGTAGCAGAGTGATGTAAAACTGAAGAGAGGGGCTGGAGAAATTGCTCAATGTGATATGCAAACATGAGGACCTGAGTGTGAATGTGCAAGGAGCTGGGCATGGCTGCCCGTGCCTGTAGCCCCAGCACTGGAGGGCGGAGTCAGGCAGAGTCTAGCCAAAATAGTGAGCTTCCACCTCGGGGACAAGGTAATGAGGTGGAGAGCAATGGTGGACAACATCCGATGTTCTGCTCTATCACCATGCATGAGCAAGGGTGCACATACCCACACTTCCATGTGCGTGCAACACACACAGGAGGTAAAGAGGAAGCCGAAAGTGAGCTCTGTTCTCGCTTCCTAAGCACTGTCTCCCAAGGTGTTAATTACGCAGCTACTGTGTTATGTGCCTTTTAGGCAATAATAGTAGCAGTGAGTGGTATGAAGTTAAACTTTGCTATGCTGTCCTGATTGATTCTAAGAGAGTAGGTGGTATGTAAATTTCATTATCCTCAGATCATGGAAGACAAGGATATTTTAAAATTTTTTTTTGTTTGTTTGTTTGGTTTTTTTTTTTTTGTGAGTGTGTGTGTGTGTGTGTGTGTGTGTGTGTGTGTGTGTGTGTGTGTGCGCGCGCGCGCGCGCCTGGCAGTGGTGGTGCATGCCTGTAATCCCAGCACTCAGGAGGCAGAGGCAGGTGGATTTCTGTGAGTTCCAGGCCAGTCTAGTCTGCAAAGCAAGTTCTAGGACAGCCAGAGCTGTTACACAGAGAAACCCTATCTCAAAAAATAAACCAAAAAAAGGGGGGAGGGTTGTGTGTTCTATTGACCTTGGATAAGTAGCGTCCTTCATATCTTTCTTAAGCCGTGACCCCTCAGTATATGTGAGAGGAGTATTGCCCTTCATCTGGGCCTGTGGCATGTACCTCCAAGGTACCATTTGAGGAACTGGGCACCTCCCCTAGAAGCAAGATACCTTCCCTCCTCTCACCTAGAGGCAGGTGTGAAGACAATGTGGACTTGTCTCTGTACCTAACAGGATTCTGAAGCTCCCCATCCCTTCCACCACCAGATATGAAAGGGATGTTAAGATAATGCTGTCTGCATGGCCTTCAGGCCTTGGAGAGTGAACTGTCCGAGAGATGACCAAGCGTTTGTGTGCACTCAAATTAGAAATTGCATTCTTGTCATTCTCTAGCTAAAAGCTGAGCTGCTGATGAAGCTCCTGCATGCCTCAGTGCAGGTGACAAGCTTTTATTATCCTTTGGTTTTTGCCAGGAAAGAGGGCCATAAAACTTGAAAGATGACCATCTGTTAGCCGCACCCTCCCTGACCCTGTCCGTGATGCGAACATTACTAGAATAAGCTGACAGGCTATGGAAGTTCATAGCATGGTTTCTCTTCTTCCCGATCCTTCCACTTGGAATGGTCCATGACATTCCAAGCTGTGTGAGGCCAAGAACCTGCCTCAGTACCCATCATTCCATACTTGGAACCTGGCTTTCATTGCTAATGATTCCGTTTTCCTTTTGCTTTTAGCTCAAAACACTGGAGTCTCAACTTTGTATAGGAATTCATATGGTGCGCCCGCCGAAGACATCAAACACAACCAGGTAAAGTGCAAGCCACACGTCTGTATTCCTGTTCCCATCGACTCACATGGCCTAGAATTCCACGTTGGTTTCCCCGGGAGTAAACTGACATCTGCCTCACACTCATCAAAACCCAAGCTGCGCTGTGTTCTGTCCTCCCGTGCAGTATAGCACAGCTGCTCCCGATGCAGTCACAGGCTTTAAACAGCCTCGGGCTTCAGAACAACTCTCGGTCTCACCCTCACTTCCTACCTGGCAGTGGAAAGTTGGTGTCACGCTATGGCGCTGTCTTGGTTCGGATGTTCATGGGATGGACACCTGGCCTTCAGTACGGCGGTGCGTAGGGTGTAGGACCTTTAAGAAGTGGAGTCTAGTGGAAGTTCATTGGCAGCCCTGACCCTGAAAATGACGACAGTAGTTCCTGTGAGGCCCAGAGTTAGCTTTCTCGGGAGTCCATCCCTCTCTCCTGGGGGAGAGTCCCATCCCCAGGTGGTCTCTCTTATGCACTTGAATGTACTATAGCCAGTACCTTGGCATCTGTCGTGATGTTATCACCGGGCAATCCAGTGCTGACACCATGCCCTTGGACATCCAGAACTATGAGATAAATTGTCCTCTTTCTTTTATAAACCTATCTAGCCTCGAGTGTTCCGTGATACAAGTGAGACGGATAAGGTCCGTGAGACGATGGGCTGGACCTTAAAAGAAAGCCCCAACTAGACAAGTATAACATGCCAGTGCCTAAAACAGAGGTGTCTGTTGACTGGACAGAGATTGGGTAGTTTCTATTACCCAGTCATCTGTAATTAACACAAAATCTTTGCGTTACACATAATATTTAACAATAACAGAAACACCACTCTTAAAAAAAAAAAAAAACCCACACAGAAGACCCTGAATGTAGTCTGAGTCTCTGTTTGCTTTATTTTAGAACTGTTTGTTAAAGGATCATTTTGCCCATTTCTCTGGGGAAGAGCGGAACAGAGGCTGGGCCTTCCCGATATCAGCCCGTTGTTGCCCTCACCCCTGCAGTGGGCAGCAGAGCAAGTTTGGCTCTTTGTTGTAATAACCCTCACTCGGGCTAGCTTCCGTGGGTGCCTTACATTCTTGCCACACTTCAGAAAAGTTATGTGGAGATAAATAACCAAAAATCATGCCCCTGGTTGCAATGGCCAGGTGTAGGAAAGCATGAAGAGTGTGTGTGGCTTTAGAATAATGCCAGCACCCAGCAGAGCCGCATCGCCCTCTAGCAGGTGGGCATGTCCTGTGCAGTCCCATTTCTAGGGAAGGAGAGAGCAGTAAACTGTCCTTGAACTTCAGTTGGATTTCGTGTCTGATCAGCCATCCGCAGGAAAGGTGATCCTTAGCCGAGGTGTCACCCTCCTACCTTCTGTTCTCTAGTCTGTGCACACCCACTCCAGAAGACATCTGGCATTGTTGTAACACCACCCCCCATGAATGCAATGGCCTAAGAGCCTGCCTGACATATTGCTAATAGCTAACTGCCCCCCTTCAATTCTGGGCTCTGCTAAAAGCAAAAAATAAACTGAGTGAATAAATAAACTAGGTCGGGAAAGTAGACAGGAAATCACCGGGGCAGCCTCAAGTATTTTCTTGCCAGTGAACCTGACTACATGTAAAGATGTGAACAAAGTGTGTTAGAGATATCGACTCTAGTTATGGAAACCAACTCTTTTTTTTTCCTTGTAGCAAATATCATGAAATTCTGTAGCTACGTGGAGTAAAGAATTTCAAGCTCTCAGAGATTTGTAGGGATGAAAGGATAGTCTTGATTTTGCAACCAAGAGTACAGGATTAGCCTTTAGTTACGCAGGTAGAGAGAAGCTCCCCGCAGAATCAGCACATCTCATGGCAGACTTCCTGGCCATGCAATCCTGCTGTACGTGATAATAAAAATACACCCTGGTGTAGCCCAGGTATGGTCTGACTACAGTAACTCCAAAGACTGTTCCCTGCATTTATAGAATGGTCCATAATGTTCTCATAAGCCTATTTTTAAGAGTATTCTGATCATTTATGAAAATTAGAACTAAGATTCACAAAGTACTAGAGAACAGGCCCTTGTCATGGGCCAAGTATGGTTCCTCAAACCCATAATCCCAGCACTCAGGGTGCCGTTGCCATTAGTTCAAAGCCAGCCCAGGCTGCATAGCACATTGTGAGCCAAAGAGGGCTATAGAAAGAGAACCTGTCTAAACAAAACAGTCACCGAGAAGGGGCAAGCAGCAGCTGACTGTAGAGAGGTGCGTCTCCAGGACAGTGCGGAAAACTGGAGTCCTGAGAAGGGGGAACAAGTGCCAGCACCTGATGTGTGCGCCAGCATGGCGGGGTAGGGACACAGCCCAGAGCCACACCTCCTGTACCTCCACAGAAAAGGAGCCAGGCTCTGGGGCACAAGTCATGTGACTGCCGAGAACTCCATGCACCTTCTCAGTAAATTATGTACTTAAAGTCTCCTAGGAGAAACAACCAATAGTGTCAAATAAAGTTGAGGATCCTTGGTTCTTATGCCTAGTGACAGATCACACACATTATTTTCACGCTCCCCAAGTCCCAGTGAAAGTCTACTCATCAATCCCATGATTATAAATGCAAATATATCTAACTTCACGTGCCTTTCTGGCAGTGGGAGTTTTTGTTCAAAAACTCTCAACAAAAGGGGTTTGTGTTTTGATGACCAGTACTCAAAGTTATACTTAAACCATGACCTTAAGGGTTTTCTTTTATTTTGTTTCGTTGGTGTCCTGAGTCCCAGTCTCAGGTAAGCAGACAGGTGTAATTGTCACCAGAGATAAGGACATGATTATCCAGGGACAGGATTTACCTTCAGTCCTCCAGCTGGGAAGAAACAAGGATTCAAACTGATCCTTCTGTCTCTGTGACCCATTCCCTGTCTCTTGACTCAGTGGCTTTAAAATCTGGGCATGAGCCCCACCCCAGCCCCCATTTCTCACCCCTCCACCACCACTACCGCCACTCAGTGCTATCAAAACATAAATCTGTTGGCCCCCAAACCAGACTCTTTTGATTCAATAGATATGGTATCTAGCCCAGTTATTTACATCTTTGACAACTTCTTGCTGCTGTGACAACATTGAGACCCAAGAAATAGACCCAAGAAATGGAAGTCTTTACCACTTGGCCCTTTTCATTAATGCCCTGAATCTTCAGTTTTCCCAAATGGAAAACACTGGAGATTGTGTCATTAGCAGTTAGTTTTTGCTAACTATTCAAAATAAATCCAGTTTGCTAGTCAATCTTGATCTTTTTTTTTTTCCTGATGTTGTGATGAAATGCTGAAGGCTGGGTGCTGCATAAAGGAAATAAGTTTAGCTCCTGGTTGGGGAAGCTGAAGGTACAAGATCAAGAGGCCCCATCTGTTCAGTCTCTTGTAAAAATGTCCTGTCTGCACCATGTGGCTGAGAAGCAGAAAGGGGATGTGATTGCTACAGAAGAGGCCAGCAAAGTAGGAATCAGATGAGCAGACAGATAGTCAACAGACAGATGGAAGACACAGATACAGGTCGATGGGGCATGTGCATACATACACTCCTGTGACACTTTGAGGAATAAGAAAAGAACAATTCATTCAGTACTGAAGGCAATGCCTACTGAAATGGAGACAGTGGGTTCTAGCAAGTGCCCTGTGCCTGTTTCCAAGCCTTCTGACTGGGCCCTTCAGTGCTCCGAGCTCAGACTACAGCACAGTCTCACACAGCACGCAGCTCTTTCTGGAATGGGAAGGGTGCCCCCCTATCACCCCGGAATGCAGCCTGCTAGACCTGGCCTTCACGGATGTTGCAGGCTACTTCCAAAATTCCTCTCAGGCCCAGGATCTGGGGGCTAGCAGAGGTTAATGCTCCATGAACATCCAGGCTTTCACAGGTAGAATGAAGTCTCGCTCATTTGCCAGCACTAACTGGAAGTCTGAGGCAGCCTGGACAGCCTCTGTGAAGAAGTTCACCACTTCTGTGGAGAACTGATCGATTTCTAGTATAAATCAATTATATATAAAAAATGGAGTTTCTCTTACTTGAGAGGAGAATTATATGTGGGCCATTAAAGGCATTCATTCATTTACACACACTGTGCTAATTACAAATCACTACCTATTAACTAAACCCATTTCTAAAGGAGGCTGCCGCACTGAACCTTGGTAAAATTCATAGGAGATTACTGAATCTGCTGGAAAGTAATCAAACTGTATCTTTTCCAGAGTGTTTTGTCATCCATGCCAGATATCCTGGCTATTATGAACTAGAGTTTTGCACATTACTGTGGACATGGGCTATGGGTCTCCACACCTTGGGGACATCTGCTCACAATGAGGGGTCAGGTACCTGAAAAGGAATCCTAGAGTCAGTCAAAACAGAGAGAGATTGGGGGGTGGGGAGGCAGTCGGCTATTGTATTATCAGCCAAGGAATGTTCCTTATCTTACTCTCACTAAAGCCAAGCAGAGGAACCAATTCTTGACTTTTGCAATAAGACTCTTGTGATCTTCGAATGTTTGTAGACCCTACACCAGACAGTAACCCACAAAGGCCAAGTACAAGGAGTACTGAGTTGGGCTGGGACACCAGAGAGCACTGTAGACACCACCCTCTAGTGAACAGCTTCAGAATGCCCCAGAAGTACAGAGGATCAAACCCAAGGCCTTGTGCATGATAGGCAGGTACTCCTCCCATGAGCTGCCCCTCAGCCTTCTTAGTCTTTAACTTTGAGGCAGAGTCATGCTAAATGGTCAGGGCTGGCCTTGAACCCCCAAGGCCTCAACTTTGCATCCTTCTGCCCCAGCCTCCCTCATATGTGATATTACAGGTGTAAACCATTGTTCTTGCAGCATTCTTTAATTTAATCAGTTTTTAATTGCACCAAGTGTTAGGAAACATTTGGTCTTCCAGAGGGCAAAATATTTGGAGTGTGTGTCTGTCTGAGTGAGGTCCTGGTTACTTTGGGCAGACATGATGGAGGGAAGCCACAATTCCATACATAATCGCAGGAATGTGTTATAAGCAGGAAATATGTGGTCATTAGACCTTGTGCATTTCCAGCCTCTCTGATATTGCAACACTTAAGTGTAGAAATGATGAAAATGAAAGTCCTCTATTCTATAGAGTTTAGTCCACACTTCTTTCCTCCACAGCTCACACTGTAAGAGAGCAGAGCTGCTATGGCAAACAGGTGGGGGTTCCTCAAAGGGCTAAACATAGAGGTACTGTCTAATCCAAGGTATACACCCAAAAAAACCAGAAGGGGAGACTCAAATAGACAGAGGTACATCCAGTTATCCAATTATCTAATTTGTTTTTGGATTAAAAAAAAAAAAGCTATGTCCATTTTTTTATTTATTCAAAAAAAATTCTAACAAATACAACCTGTAAAAGTAATGAAAACCTACTGAGGGCAAAAAAGCCAGGCACACAAGCGCAAATATTGTGTGGTTCCACACATGTGAGGCTCCAAAAGAAAGCAAATTCATAGAGACAGGAATCACCGTGGACATTTCCAGGATCTAGGAGTGGGTAATAGGTTTAATGAACATAAAACCTGGAACCACCAATCCTGTCAAGCCAGCTTGCCCCAGGGAGCCCCTGTCTCTGCCTCTCTGGTGCAGGGGCTATAGGCTGCCACCACACCTACCAACCTTTATGTGGGTTCTGGGGATCCAAACTCTGGTCTTCAATTTCATGGCAAGAACTTTTATCCATTGATGTATCTCCCTAGTCTCCTGGACCAGTTATCAAACCTCTCCTGGGCCTCTCTTTCCTGGCTAGAACATCAGAAAGATCAAACTTACGTGTTCTCACACAGGGCTGCTAAAAACCAAGTTGCTTTCACAGAAGCAAGTAGCCTAGTGGCCAGCAGAGGCAGGAAGAGTGGAGAGGAGGAGGAAGAGAGAAAAGGATGCCAGATAAGGACTCTTCAGCCCCCATGAGACAGGGGGAGTAAGCAGTCACATCCATAGTACCACAGCGTGACGTTCATGATGAGTTTTGTGTACTTTATAAAGAACTAGAAGGGGAGAGTTTGAAGATTCCCAGCACAAGGAAGTAAGTGGCCAAGGAGGTTGAAATGCTACTCAACACATGGAATACCAGCGTCAAATCAGCAAACTGCACCCCATAGATATGAAATTAAAACGTCAAATTAAGTGGAAAGAACGCAGCCATTGGCAGTGTGTGCAGAAAGCCCGGAGCAGGCTCCAGTCCTTTCTATACAAGGTGCTAGAGTGGCATGGGGAAGGAGGGTGGGCTAGGGAACGGCTGACCCAGAGTGACACTCTCTCTCTCTGCCAGGTTTCAGCACAGCCTGTCCCCCAGGAGCCCAGCAGGAAAGACTATGAGACCTACCAGCCGTTTCAGAATTCCACACGAAATTATGACGAGTCCTTCTTTGAGGACCAGGTCCATCACCGCCCTCCAGCCGGCGAGTACACCATGCACCTGGGCCTCAAGTCCACCGGCAACTATGTCGACTTCTACTCCGCTGCCCGTCCTTACAGTGAACTGAACTATGAAACGAGCCACTACCCGGCCTCGCCCGACTCCTGGGTGTGAGGAGCCAGGACACGAGGCATTCCGGGAACAGTGCATGTGCATGCATACCACGGGACATTCTGTTTCTTTTCTTTTCTTTTTTTTTCTTTTTTTTTCCCCTGCAAATTTAGTTTGTTAAAGCCTGTTCCATAGGAAGGCTGTGATAACCAGAAAGAAATACTCAGAGCTATTTTAGAAAGCTAAATGAATCGAGAGTTAACTGGGAAATCGATAGGACGCTAAACGCAATCCTAAAATGTGACCACATTCAACACCTTTCTAGTTTGAATTATAGAGATTTCAAAGTGCTTTATGGGCCATGTGGCTGAAAGAAGGAGAGAGGGGACGGTCGCGGTGGTGGGCGTGGAGGTTATCGCTAAGCACAAGACAGAATAGTTTACACACTAGGGGGGACGGCTTCTCACGCTTTGTTACTCTCTCATCCATGTGACTCTAGGCTTCAAGTTGCATTGGGGTTTCTCTGTACAGCAAGATGTCTCTTGCCTTTTGTTAATGCATTGTTGTAAAGTATTTGATGTACATTACAGATTAAAGAAGAAGAGCGCATTGTGTATATTACACCAATGCCACCGTGTTTCCTCATCAATGGTTCTAAATATTGCTTCAATTTCAAACTTTTGGAAGATGTATGGATTTCCAGTTTTCTTTTCTTTTCTTTCTCCCAGTATGTTTTAACAAAAAAGAGAAAAAAAAAACAGGAAAAAAAGGAATATTTAGCAGTATTGTTCGTTCTGATATGTGATTTGTTTGTGGCAACTAAACAAGGCATCCAGCAGTTTCTCACAGCTAACACGTCATTCCACACTCCTTGTCAACAAAGTGCTTTTTCACTGCCTAAAATTTTAGATGTAGATATTTGAAATAGATTTTTTTCATTTATACCAGTTTTCTTTATGATGATACAGTGTTAAAAGACAATAAATTACAATTGATCTGTCATCCATATTTGCTAAGAATGTCTATTTCCATGGACCAACCTTACAAAATACACATTCTTGCTTGTGTGTCTGTGCGTGTGTGGGTGTGTGTATGTCAATGTATGTATAACGATGACCTGTGTGGGACTTTGTTTGGATAGAAGCAACTCCATCTGCTGTCCACCTTGTACAAGCCGTTTGTTTTTCGGTATCGGTGTGCATCCGTTTGTTCCTTTGTAATGTATCTACCATTCTTACCATCTAGTGGCTCAGGATATTAGCCCAGCTGAAGTAAAGTAGGATTTTTCACACGTTCACACATTCTTAGAAACCAACTCTTTCTACAGGTCAATCCCTTCCACATTTTATGCCCTCAGAACATGCTACACCATGGCCAACTCGGTAGTTTCACTTTGGGGCCAATTACTTGAAGTATCCATAGAAGATGTAAACTGCTCGCCTTATTCCCTCTCAAACTTTTTTTGTTCATGTGACAGGCAGCAGTAGACAATTATGGGCTAGATGATTAAAACTGAACTTGAAGCTAACGTTAGACTATTGGTTAACAGAGCTAAGAAATAAGGCTAACCATTTCAGAGAACGTGGGCTGTGGGTAAATTAGCTTCGCTCTTTAGATGCAAGTGACTGAGGCCAACAGGTGCCTGGCAAATGTTAACTGTTCTTGGAAAAAAATAAAAAAATAAATAACTAAAGAAATTGGCTGCCATCTTCCTTGAAAACTTGGTTCTCCCCCATCAGCACCACCTTTTTCTACGGAGTTTAATTCAGCTCAGAGTCTAACAGCAATGGTTTTCTTCAAAGTCAACAATGAACAAAATATGCTTTATTCATGCAGCGTTTGGGAAAGGAAAAGTTAATTCCCAGAGTAGAACAGTGGGCAGAAGCTTACATGTGCATTGTCCTATAAATTGCATATCGTGTTGTTTTGTCTATTAAGGACTCTCTGGGTTCCTTCAAAGAGGTGGGCTCCCATCCGTGCAGAAAGACAAATATGTAGCATCAAGGACAAGGACGCTTTGTGTTTCCTGTATCACTGGATGAAATAGTCATGTTTATCAAAGCAGAGAATGTAGTATCACTTACCATAGCCTAATAGCTGGTTTAGTCTTTTCAATTTCTTATTCAGTGCTAAGCAGAGGGAAATAAACACAAGTGTTGAGGATCTCCTTCTTCCAGAAAGAATTTGTTATTTTCTTTATGATTTTGACTCTCAATGCATGGTTCACATCAGCAATTCTTGGAGACCAAGGATGTCTTTGCTATCTATAGCTCTTTAAGAGTACATCATACCAAGCTACGATTAATTAATTCATACAGGATCCCCTGGCACCACAGGAAGAGTACAAAAGAACATTTAGAGTGATCAAACTTATTTAAGCCAACCAATTTTTCTTTTTTGAATATGTTCATACAGACATAGATATAAGGCAAATGTAGACTGTGAGGGGAAGAAAGATGATCAATGGTGGAAGAAAGAAGGAAAGAAGGAGTGGGTGAACAGATAAGTGGATGGAAAGGCTTCACCTGAACTGTAGAGTAGCCCAAAGACCCCATAAGCTTCCGTGGCAGAAGTTGGTCAGCAGTTGAGTCATGATTTGTAACATGGCATGCCCTGGATAAAATATCAGGGTGGAGTAGGGCACTTCTTTGGTTTTCCTTTCATTGTGTTGATGACCAAGACACTCACATCCCAAGTTGCTGCCTCTATCATCTGGATCCCCCTACTGAGAAGAGAATGGTGCTTTTCAGAGGAACATACGGGAACCGGAACATTTCTTTTTCTATTTAATCCTTATAATAAAAAAATAAATATACTCAATGTACTTAATAGATAAAATACAGACCTTATTATGAAAAATAGACACCCTTTTCATTTGAGGATGTCATCAGCAGAAACTAAGGAGCACTTGGCATTGTTATTATTAGTCTTAGCCTGTGAACTAAGATATTTCAATCCTGGATCAATTGTAATGTTACCCAGTACTTTGATCCTTAGTAACAGGCATTGAAATTGAAAGGCAGAGTTTAAACTCAGCAGAAAAGCGAACACCAACACAAAGCTCCGTGTGTTTTATGTCATGTTTCTCTTACCTCAACTCCCCTTTGTTGTGTGGTGCTGTGCCCCTTGTTCCTGGGAATTGTGCCTCCAGAGGTACAATTTCTGTCTGGAGAAAAGAGATGTTGTTCACATGGGCAGAGGGGATATAACACAGCCCTTGCCTGTGAAGCCACTGTTTTAGCAATACTCCCACAAACCAACAAGGACACTAGCCAGTACATCTCCACCTGTGATAGAGAGGATGCCATGGGTAGTCCATTAACCCAAGGTTAGCATTACCAGCTAATCTTTACCACTCAACCCACAGCCATGCTGGAACCTCCATATGACCAATGAGAAAAGTAAGCCAAGCTTCTGGGAAGCCCACAATGTATATTAGAGATCACTGGTTGTCCAGCCCACCCACACCCAGAAAGATTTTCTGGGGAAATGTATTCCTGTAACTCTGGTCTCCAAAATCCTGTTGTTCTGCTTCTTCCTTGGGATTGTGCAACCTAATCCCATCTGAAAAATCTGAACCTTTCTGGTTCTCATTTACCCTGAAGTCCCCACAGAAACAAGCTGGTACATGAACCCTGGATAAAAGAACTGGACCTTGGGTTGTCAAGGCTTCATTTGGGTCTTAGGAACAAGCTCCTTCCCGTGGTGCACCTCAGGCCAGAATCTCACTGGCAGTGCCTTGGAGAAGGGTCTGTGAGCAGAATCTCCACACAGAGTATCCTCTGTATCCTGTAAAACTAAGTGAAAAATGTAATGTCCTGGGCAATAGCTGGTCTTACAAAGAGAAGTGAACAAGATCTCTTGTTACATGAATTGCAATGGAAGACTCCAAGTAGTTGTGGACATATATGCCCTTCCTTGCATACTCCATTGCCACCTGGAAAACTGATAGAGGAGAAGCACAAGTTCAAGGCTAGCCTGAGCAATTTAGTGAGCCCCTGCCTCAAAGGAAATGTGATTATGTTCAGTTGCAAGCCACTTAACTACTATGCATGAGGTTCTGGGTCCAATGCCCAGTAAAGGGGGGAAATTGTGTGAAATACGATTTATGTAAGTCAGTCTCAATGGTTGCCACTTGATTGACACAGGCACCTAAAGATCCTTCTGAGATGTGAGCCTGAGTTTCCAAGTGCCCAAAGATATAAACCTATCCTTAGGAATTACAAAGAACATTTACAGCAAAAAAGAAATATCACTGTGTTTAAATACTTGAACTCACCAATGTTGATGATAAATCCAAAGGGAATGTTGCAAGAGGCCATTGGAAACTAGGACTCTGGAATGAGATATCAAGTTAAGTATCATCTCCCTAGAGTGGAGAGTTGAAGAATTGACATGGGTGGAAAATACATTTTTTGAAAGTATACGGAGAAAAGAATCCTGGAATGGTAAAAGTCCTGAGGGAATGCCGGAATCCAGCTCCACCAGGTCAGACAAATTGGAGAGCAGATGTGGAGTCAGCTGCTACACAAACACACAGGAGACTTCTCTGAGGGAGCAAACTTGATTCTTCTTCCTTTTTTTCTTCTGTCTCTTTATTTTTCTCGTATCCTTTTTATACTACCTAAGACAAAAATCTCTATGCAAGAAGGAAATCACCTCACAAGTTACATATTTCCCAAAAACAAAATCTTTACATAGGAAGAAATCACATTATCATCACAAGTTACATGTTTTTCCTAGAAGCCCACAAGTAGTTAGATATTTTTCTTTGTATTAATTTCCCCACCATAACATCTTCACCCCAAAGCAATGATTCTTTTATTATTGATTAATAAAGGTTTAAGCAAGCCAAGTACATTTTGGCCAGTTCCTTTGTACTGCCAGGCAGCAGTTTGAGGTTTCAGAGTAGCAAATTCTTACCCAATTTCTACTCTACAAAACTTTCCTCAAGTGGTCTAGCAAACCATCTATTTTTTTCTTTTTTCTTTACACACAATAAGGTCATTTAATTTCCTTTCAGAACTTTGTTTTTTCAAGGTGCATACTGAAACCTGTGATTAGTTCTGTAAGCTACATGATCAAGAAACTCAGACGTAACCTTGGGTATAGGGACATAATTGATTTCTTTGATCATCAGCCTGTTTTTCCACAGGCAGAATTCAAGGGTCTATAATGCATGAAACTTCCTTATTTTTATTTTCCCTCCTCAGCAAATCTCATTCTTAAGCATCATTGCTCTACAAAAATCATCTTCATTATGACCTGCACGTAAATTGCCCAGTGAGGAGTGGGATTTTCCCATGAAATGCACACTATACTCGATACAGTGGGATCCTTTCACACAGTAATCACACCACGCCAAATGCAGTAAGAACATGATAGCAGCAAGCAGGAGAAAGCACAGCAGAAGCAAGGGGCATTCCGGAGACCATGACCACACACACACACACACACACACACACACACACACACACACACACACACACGGGGGCTTTGCATCTCCAGGATGTACCCCATAGCTCCATTGCTGACTGCAGCTCCTCCGACATGACCACCACCAGGGGACAGTGGATACTTCAGGGAAGGAGGCTGAAGGGGAAAAAAAAAAGCAAAGAGCGTCAATGCTACTGTCAAAATCAGGGGAGGAGAGGCTTTCAAAAGAGGGGAGTAGCAAATTCCCCTGACGGGCACACAGCATAGTGAGGAGGAAGATGGCTGAGAAACAACCTTTGTAGGGCATGTAGGACTTTGGGCGTGAGTGCAGAAGCAGAGAAGGTAAGTGAAGACCACTGGCCAGAGTCATTCCAAAGTGTACAAAGAACCATTCGGAGAGAACTGGGAAAGCTTGCAGACCACGGAGCAGAGCTCATGCTCACGCTGATGATTTGAAAGCCCCACACCAACACACAATGTTTTAAGCTCTGGCACCGTTTTAACACTGCTCCCTGTCAGGTGATTCCTTGGAGATCCAGACCCATTTTTAAAAGAGAAATAAGTTC